GGAGGAGGAGGACGAGGAGGAGGAGGAGGAGGAGGAGGAGGAGGAGGAGGAGGAGGAGGAGGAGGAGGAGGAGGAGGAGGAGGCGGAGGAGGAGGAGGAGGAGGAGGGAGGAGGAGGAGGAGGAGGAGGAGGAGGAGGAGGATGAAAAGCAGCCGCAGTTGTTGCTTGTAGCACGCAGTTGTGGTTTCAGCATGCAGCAGACTCGATCCGTAGGCCTTGGGTCAAGCTCGGCACGAGCAGCAGGAAAGAAGCATCTTTTCATTCCAAGCAGATCTTCGCATTGGTAGCGGGAGCGATTGGTTCCTATCATTCACGAAGTCAGTGGGCAGCGCTCATCGAGTGAGTGGCCGCAGCAGGTCACGGACACTGACGAGACGGAGAGCACGGACAGCGAGTCTGTGAGCAGCAGTTGGGATCTCCTGCACACGATGCCAGAGACAGGAGAACAAGCAGGCGCCGATGGAGGTGGTCTGCAGTTTCGAGGTGATGGTCGAATGCCAGGGGTGAAGCTCACGGTCCTCAGCAAGGAGTTGGCGAGGAATCCAAATTCCTATCGCGAGTGGCGGAAGGAGATTGAGATCATCGAGAAGATTTACAAGGTGGCTCCAGCGGACCTCGGACCCTTGGTGTACCTCAGCCTGGAGAAGGGCGATGGACAGCCAAGGGAGTTGGTCGAGACACTCGACCTAGACGTGCTCAGCAGCGAGGTCGGCCTGCGGAAGCTGATGGAGATTCTAGACGAGGAGTTCACCGAGAAGGACTACGAGCGCAGCGAGAAGCACCTCAGGGCGTTCGAGAAGTGCCGCAGAGGCGTTGGAGAAGATGTCGACGACTACATCGCGAGGTTGAAGACGGCCAGGCGCAATCTTAAGGTACACGACCCTGGCACTACGTACTCCGACACCTCATTCGCAAGAAAGCTCTTGCGGAGCTCAGGGCTATCACGAGAAGCCCAGCGGCAGGTACTAGCAGCAGCAGGCGCGGAGTGGAACTCGGAGAAGATCGAAGCGACGATCAAGATGGTCTATGGAGATGTTCACCTAGACGAGAAGCGGCGTGTGGACAAGAGGAACGAGCGCCCGAGCAAGCACACGCAGTATCGACAGTTCCCTCCACGGTTTGGACAGCCCACTTCGAAGTTTACTTCAGGCAGCAGTGCGGGAGGAGGAAAACCTTCCGGAGCATCGGGAGGTGGAAAAGGCTGGTTTCGGCGGCCGGTCTGGAATGCCAATTACGCAGGAGGAATGGACGCAGATGAAGAGTTCAGCCAAGATGAAGATTACCCTGATTACGAGGACGAAGACGGTCAGCCACAAGACGCCCTCGTGGCGGAAGAGGCGCCAGACAACCACCAGGAGGACGAGTACGAGTACGGCGATCAGGACTCGGACGCCATGGACGACGAAGAGGAGGTGGTGCTGGACGCGTTCTACCAGGGCTTCAAGGCGAAGAAGAAGCAGTTTGGCCGCGGCAAGGGACGCGGGAAGAACACCACGAGTGGCGGCCGGGGAAAGAAGTCCGGAGTGTGCAACGACTGCCTTCAGCCAGGCCACTGGAAGGGCGACCCAGAGTGCCCGAAGGTGATCGCGGGGATTACGTCTCCGTTCAAGCCTGGCGGCAAGGGCGACGGCAAGAAGGGTTCTTCCTCGGCGAACGTGGCAGCAACGATGGCTACGGACAGTACGGCGCACATGGAGTTCAAGTGGTTGAACGACGGAGCGGAAGAATTGCCATCTCCCCATCCGGGACCGGTGGATGCCTTCGTGCTGGGTTCGCAGAAGGTCAAGGCGGAGGTGAAGCAAGAGAGCGACAACCTTGGGCTGGATCCCAGGAGGCCTCCGACACCGGGCTCAGAGTTCGAAGACGACTCCTTCGAGAAGGACTCAGACGAATCCGAGGGGGTCTACAAGAGCTGGACCGAGGAGCAGCTCAGTGCGGAGTTGGCAAGGAGGAAGCACAAATCGACAGGACCGCGGGAGGAGCTGGTCGGAAGACTCCTCCGATCCAACCTGCACGCGACGTTCATGGATGAAGAAGCTGACGGATGGCAGGACGTGGAAAAGAAACCCTCTGGAGCGGCTGGAAGTGCCGATGGCGGCAAGCAGCCAAAGCCCTCAGCGCGGCCGAAGCCTAAACCGACAACAGCGGCTTCGAGGTTCCAGTCTGAGAGGATCCACATCAGCGGCGACGACGTACGCTCGTTGGTCGATCGGTACAGGGCGCGGCTGGACGAGTTCGTGGTGGACTTCACGAACCGCGCGCGCGACCACCACACGGGGTACGTGACCGACTGCGAGCTGGAGGTGTTCAGGATCCTGACGGCGAAGCAGCTGCAGGATATACTCTTGATGCTCGAGCAGCCTTACAGCGGCTCAAAGCAGGAGAGGATCGATAGGCTGATATCGTTCATCACCGACCAGGTGGAGAATCCCTGCGAGCACAAGAATGCGGGCTCCGGCGAGATCCTGGACAACGTACGCTGGACAAGCACATCTACCTGGACGTTCGCGATCTGCAAGAACTGCAACCGATGCGTCCAGCGGATCCCGAAGACGAACTACGCGAAGGAAATCAGGGACAAGGCGTACAGCCGCGAGGACAAGAAGGACGCGCTCGTGGTCAATGACGTGTTGTGGGACGACATCGGCACGACGGAGCTCATCAACGATAGCGGGTGCAGGCGCAGCGTCGCAGGTCACGAGTGGCACGACAACTTGCAGACCCACCTGAAGAGTTTGGGCCTCCAGCCGGTCAAGAAGGACATCAATGAGGAGTTCAGGTTCGGCGGCGGTGACGTGGCAGTCAGCACGGAGTCGTATGTCTATCCTGCTGGGATAAATGGCACACACGGAGTCATTGAGGTGGCTCGAGTGGAAGGACGAACACCACCACTGCTATCGCAGCAGGCGATGCAGGATCTAGGCGTGATCGTAAATTACCGCAAGAAGGTGATGGACATCGAGGAGGCTGGAGTGTTCAAGAAGCCGATCAAACAATCACGGTCGGGACATTTCCTCGTAGACATCGGAGAGTCTGGCAACCCGAACGAGTTCCCGGAGTGTTTCCATATCAATGGCAAGATGGACATGACCCCACAGGAGGAGGCCGGCGAACTCGGGTTCAAGGACCTCTCGCGTGTTGGAGTCCTACAGCGAGGTAGGAAGAAGCGGTTGCAGAGGACCACGAGAGGAGTTGCGGATGCGTTGGCTGCAGAGGCGAAGAGATCCGTCCACAAGGACCCAACGACGGTGACGTCGAGATCCAAGAGGTTGAAGTTCCTGGAGATATTCTCGTGGACGCTTGCTCTATCGTGCGAGGCGGCGGCGCAAGGGTGGCAGGTCATGCCGCCAATTAGCATCGAGACGGGCTTCGACCTCTACACACGTTCTGGGCGGGCACGAGCCTGGAGGGAGGTCGTCGACAACAAGCCGGACGTGGTGGCCATGGCTTGGCCCTGTGACCCCTGGACGGTGATGCACAACTACCAGGCACACCGCCCGGCGTTCCAGAAGGAGTTGCAGGTGCGACAACAGCAGTCCCGTGGAGCGTTGAGGTTCGTGAAGAGGGTGGCTGACTACCAACGCAAGCGCGGAGCCTACTTCTACGGCGAGAACCCGCTCACAAGCAAGGCCTTCCAGGAGGAGCCGATAGTGGAGCTGCTGAAGTCGCACGGCACGACGGTGGTGGACATGTGCGCGTTCGGGCTCCGACATCCAGACTCGGATTTACCTATTAAGAAGCCATCACGAATCATCATGTCCACACAGACGATGGCGGACAAGCTCGAACGACGGTGCCCAGGACACCGACAACACGCTAAGATCGAAGGGCGATTGGCTAAGCAAAACATGAGGACGAGCACGTACGCCGGCGGCTACACGAAGGAGTTCGCCGAGGCCGTCATCAGCGTGTTCATGGAGGCGTTGGACATAAGGAATACACACGACGCCCTTGCGAACGAGGCAAAACGACGACGCATTACCACACCGACGATATCAAAACGGAGAATGCCAGCCCCACACGCCCAACAAAAAGAGAAGAGAGTGAGGGTTGTATCTACGACTCCTCCGATTACGATTACTCCACCTATCACCACACCCACACGTTCACGTTTGGGTAACGACAAGAAGGGCATCATCAAGAAGGTGCGAGCGCCGACGTTTTCACATGGCGGCGCTAGCCAACTACGACGTACAGTTTCATTCGACCAGACGAGGTATTTGACGAAGTTGACGCCCGGCTGGCATGGCAGTGGCGACCTTGTGATACACGTGGGACAAGGTCGGGTTCAACTATGGTCGAAGAACTACCCCGAGCACACCGTGAGATCAGTTTATGCGGTCAAGAAGACAAGTGACCGTGGCGGGAAGAAGTGGTATTGCGAAGAGTTTGACAAACAGGTGGACCAAGATGGACCAGAAACCTCGGGCACGCGAGGAGAACTGCGGAAGGTGGTGACGATGCTGAAGAAGGTTCCGCCCGGACTCCGAGGGGCCCCACCTGAAGCCCCACCTGAAGTTCTACCTGAAGTTCTACCTGAAGTTCTACCGGAAGTACCCCCAGAAGATCCTGAAGGACAACAACCACCAGAGCCTCAAGAGCAGCAAGTACCTCCGACGACAGCGGAAGAGGACGAGAACCCGGAGGACGAGGTGGAACAGGAGGGGACGTGCCAGAGGAGGCGGACATCACCAGGGACCCGCTGTATCCAGAGGATCTCCCAGCGGGCGAGATATTCACTACGACGAGAGGCCAACAAGAAGTGGCCCATGTTCCGCCTGAAGTTCGCGCGGAAGTACGACGAGCACACAGGAATCTGGGTCATTGCGGCCGTGAAGCGCTACTACGAGTGATGAGGTTAGGCGGAGCCTCCCAGCTGCACCTGGACTACGCGAAGGTATGGCAGTGCGAGGTGTGCGCGAGACGAGCAGCTCCAGAGCGACGTCGAGTGGTGTCGAGCCGACAGAGACCCACGTCATTTGGGATCGCGGTCGGGGTGGACACCAAGGAGCTGAAGGACGCGAGTGGAGGCAAGTACCTGGCCCTGAATTGCGTGGATTTCGCGACGAAGTTCTCGTGCCTGATCATGCTGGAGAATCCCTCCAGTGCAGAGGCAGCCAGGATGTTCATGACGAAGTGGTGCGCCTGGGCCGGAGTACCTATTGTGTGTCACTCCGACAACGGCTCGGAGTTCAGGAAGGATTTTGCATCCTACGCGGAGTCGGTGGGAATCACGATGAGAGTGGTGCCCACGGAAAGTCCGTGGCAACACGGGCTGGTCGAGCGCCACGGGGCCGTCAGCAACGACATCGTGCGCGCGATTGTGGACGAGTGCACCATCCAGGGCCCGGCCGAGATGGAGTTAGCCATAGCGGCGGCGAACATCTGCAAGAACCGAAGAGTGGATCCATCAGGATACAGCCCCAGGATGAGAGTTTTCGGTTGTGGAGACAGGTTACCAGGCAGCGTGCTGGACAGCCTCCTCAGCGACGAACAGTACCCAGAGATCGCCGTGCACGACGCGGTGCTCAAGGACTACCAGGTCCAGCGGTCGCAGAAGATACGCGAGGCGGCTCAGGTCGCGCTGGCGAAGCTGGACAACAGTGACAAGTGGAGGAAGGCCATCGTCCACAACTATCGACCCACACCTTCGCCGTGGATGCCCGGAGAGTGCGTGTTCTTCTGGCGAGCGGCAGGTACCTTCAAGCCGCAGGCACGATCTACAAGACGAGCAGACCGTTGGCACGGTCCAGCAGTCATCCTCGGCAGGGAGTGGGGACGCGAAGGCCAGAACGAAGCGTATTGGCTGGTGTTCAACGGGAACCTCCTGCTGGTGGCACCACAACACATCAGGTCGGCAACCCCAGAGGAGCGCTTGGCGAGCGAGGCCATCGGCAGCATCCTTGAGAACTACAACATGGACCTGAGCGGGATCTCGAGGGGTCAGCATACGTTCGAGGACTTGAGACCGAGCTCGATGGAGAGTACGACGATACCTCCGAATCCTGTTGAAGTGCCAGTGCCGGGAGTTGTCTCCCGAACGAGTGGAAGAACCACGACAGACACCTGAGCCCGAAGCTCAGCCATCACCAGCAGGGAGTGTTGGAGCGCCTACGCCACCACCTACACCACTATCGCAGATAGAAGAGGTTGTGCCTCAGGCACCAGTGGTGGAGGCGGTGTTCAACCAAGCCGTCGAGACCCCAGTCCCGGACCTGGACACGGAGACGCTGTACGCGATGAACGACGTGTTCTCGCTGGAGCTCCGTCCCTTTCAGGCAGGCACCAAGGGGAAGGAGCTGGACTCGAGGAAGTTCACGAAGGCGGAGTGGCTTGGGTTCAACAAGAGCATCGCCAAGAACTGACCTGGAGCACGAGGCCGTCAGGGTGGTCCTGCCCGATGAGGCGGCGAAGGTCGACAAGTCGAGGATCTTCAAGGTGCCGGCGCGCTTCGTGCATACCCTCAAGGAGGGCCAGCCGAACAGCCGACTTGTGATCCCGGGACATCTCGACCCGGACAACCAGGGCAAGCTCGGCATCAAGCATGCGAAGCGCATGGCGATTTCGTCAGAAACGGCAGGTACACGGACAGATGCACCAGTGGCGCCCATGGTAGGGCTGATGCTACTGCTGAACTTGGCGGCGCATTTCGGCTGGGATCTCGGGACGTTCGACATCGGCTCGGCGTTCCTCACCGGCAAGACAAACACGAGACGGTTATATGTGATGCCTCCCCGAGAAGGGCTACCTGGAGTTCCTGCTGGGAGCTTGGTGGAACTGCTCAATGGTGTATTCGGACTACGAGAGTCACCTCGCTTATGGTGGGAAAGATTCTCGGAGGTGTTGATCCAGGCCGTATTCCAGCCGCTCAAGACCATGAAAGGAGTGTTTGTCATTCGGAACGACAAAGGCAAGATCGAGGCGGTCCTATGTGTTCACGTGGACGACGGACTCTGGGGCGGTACAGGCGAGCGGTTCGCCAGAGCGAAGGAGATCGTACGCGAGAAGCTCAACGTGACCAAGGAGAAGCAGGGTCAGTTCGAGTTCCTCGGCCGGCGCATCAATCAGCTGCCGGATAAGTCCATAGAGGTCGACCAGCACGAATACATCGAGAAGATGGAGAAGATCTTCGTGCCGGCATCCAGGAGGAAGGACCCCGAGAGCAAGGCGACCGAAGAAGAACTCTCGAAGTACCGCAACCTGGGACAACAATTATCGTGGCCCGCGCGGACGACACTACCTGGTTTAGCCTATGACGTCAGTGACCTGCAACAGCGGACGCCAGACTTGACGGTCGGCCAGCTGTGCAAGGCGAACACGGTGTTGAGCATGGCCAAGGAGATGGCGACGCGTGACGTCAAGCTACGATTTCATCGCGGAGATGGATCGGGACGATTTGGATGTATGTGTGTACACGATGCCTCGTACGACAGACAGCCGAGGAGTGGATCGCAACAAGGATTCATCCTCCTGCTAACCGACGAGAAGTTCGAAGCCAAGAAGTCAACGTGGTGGACTGGTGCTCGAGCAAGATCCATCGTGTGGTAAGATCTACATTGGCAGCGGAGGCGGCCAGTGCGAGCTACGGGTTTGACAGGGCGTGCTTCGTGAGGACGGCGTTGGCCGAGATATTGTACGGCTGGGAATCAGAGAGCGACTGGACGACATTGATGGGCAAGATCCCCAGCCTGTGCGTGACGGACTGCAAGAGCTTCGTCGACCTCTGCCGTAAGGAAGGGAGCATGCCGACGGAGAGGAGGATCGCGTTGGACCTCGCTGATCTTCGAGATCGTTTGGAAGTCGGAGACGGCTTGATATGGACAGACACCCGCCTGATGCTTACCGACCCCCTGACCAAGCACATGAAGGATCAGAGCTATTTGGAGCATGTCCTCAAGACGGGATAATCGTGGCGGGGGTGACCCCGGGTGAGTGAGAGGCGTCCTGATGTGAATGCTGCCCTAGTAAAGTTTTCCCTGAACGGGACGCGTGCCTGAACCGCGCAGGCCAGCCTGGCCGCAGGACGCCCAGATGCATGATACAGATTCCATATTGACGATAGCTCGGGTTATAAAGCAAATGGCCCTACGTATCGAGATAGAAGAGGTTGTGTGAAAAGCAGCCGCAGTTGTTGCTTGTAGCACGCAGTTGTGGTTTCAGCATGCAGCAAACTCGATCCGTAGGCCTTGGGTCAAGCTCGGCACGAGCAGCAGGAAAAAAAACATCTTTTCATTCCAAGCAGATCTTCGCAGATGAGGAGGAGGAGGAGGAGGGGAGGCGGAGGAGGAGGAGGAGGAGGAGGAGGAGGAGGTGGAGGAGGAGAAGGATGAGGATGAGAATGGTGATGGTGATGCTGCTGCTGCTGATGATGATGAGGAGGAGGAGGAGGAGGAGGAGGAGGAGGAGGAGGAGGAGGAGGAGGAGGAGGAGGAGGAGGAGGAGGAGGAGGAGGAGGAGGAGGAGGGGAGGAGGAGGAGGAGGGAGGAGGAGGAGGAGGAGGAGGAGGAGGAGGAGGAGGAGGAGGAGGAGGAGGAGATGGGGGAGGAGGAGGAGGAGGAGCAGGAGGAGGCAGAGCGTCGAGAAGAAGAGTTCGTCCATCTCATCGCCGACCGCCCTGTGGCAGATCGGTAGCTTGCCTCTCGGCGCGATCAATGGCTCGAGCCTCTGGCTGGGAAAATATGCTCAATGGCGATGCCGAGTATGCATGACTGAGTTTCCTGTAGACGTGGAATGCCATCACAAATCTACGGAGGCTCCCTTGGCACGAGGGGGCAAAGGCGAGTTTGGGGAGAGGCGCAGCAGGGAAGGGAGATCGGCAGACCTCCGAGATCATGCCGAGAAACACTTCGCAGCAAACATAATGCTTAAGCGAGTCAGGTCCCAAGCCACAGACGCGACAGCGGGCGTCCGGGCTCCTCATCCGCGTCGAGAAGACCCACCCCCACTCCAGGTCTTCAAAGCCGCCATCCTCTATGAGGGGGGGATCTGAGAAGAACCGCCTGCACGCGCTGCCACTCGACACACGCCAGATCCCCCCTCTCAAGGCCAAACCAAGTTTGGAGTCTGCGGCCGAGGACGGCGATTAGCGATCCCTCAGGCTTGAAACGTGACACCACATATCCTGTCGCAAAGGATCGTTGCGTGCGCACTCGCGCCGCACGAGACGCGCAGAGCTCCACAGTGCGCAGCCGCATCAACTTCCTGTCCCTGACCACTCGAGCCAAACCCGACAAAACATAAAGGGAACCTCGCCTGACCTACCGAGAGACCTTCCCCAGCAGCATCCCAGAGCTCCCACGCAATCGCTGGCGACTTCCAGAACTCCAACCAAGGGGCCGCACTTCGTGCCTCTGTGAATCTAACAATCGGCAGTTGCCTACGCGCAGCCTCAACAAGCTGATGGACCGCATCCAGCCAGCAAGGTAAAGTTTCAGTGGCGGCCCTGGCCAGAAGGCGCATAGCGGAAGCCAGCTGCCCGGCGCCCTAACGAGACGCTGGAATCTATAAAACTCATCGTGGTGGAGGGAGGGGGGGAGACGGAAAAGTTGAGCCTTGTACTCATGCGCGGTGGTGGATCTCTCGCGGTAGGGGCTGGCTGCAGTGGATTGGTCCGCAGCCGACAGGGCTACATCCCCTGTGCGGGCCCTCCATTTGTCGAGCAAATCGTCCACTGGTTAGCGGGAGTCGCGCTATGCCCAAGCTCCACCCCCGGGTACACAAGCTGGCTCACGATCTGAACGAGTGCCCAGGAAGGCTCAACGCTGTGCAACAGCTGACGGGCTGCTGCTTGCGCTGCCTTAGGGAAGGCCTGGGACAGCGGAGCACAAAAGCATGCCAACGAGCACAGCCGCGGCGGCGGTGCTCGAGCCACTCCTCCCAAATCCGCCGCGACTGGATGGCTCACCGCGGCAAACAGGCTGCCCGAGGCCGGGTCCCCCTGAAGGATACCCGATAAGATGAAATACAAGGGGATGGGGAGGGGTCGGAGATCAGCGACTGGGCACCACGGTGCGTCTGCTGGAGGGCGTCAAACATGCCCGAAGGGACCCGCCATGCGGTCAGGACGTGCAACAGAAGCGCATGTTCGACCGAAAGGAAGGCTTGCGCATGGTCGAACGCAAGGAGGAGAGGGAAACAATGGGAGGACGAGGCAGGTAGCATTCCCTCCAGCCAAGCACGACAGTCTAATTCAAGTAAATTATTGAAGCAACTACGGTCAATGATGAAACCTCGTTGGGAGCGAGCAATAAAGTGCGCTACACCTCGCTTCAATTTCGTGTTGATCGCCACCGAGATCGCCCTCGCACCAATGTTGCGTAGAACCAGGGGGCGACTTCTGCCGGCTTCCCGTGCTACGCCTCCCCCGTCCGTCGGCAGCTCGCCCTTCGGGGGATACACGCCCATGGAATCATTGAAGTCAGATCTCATGGGCAATCCCGACGCCATCCAGTCCAGAGACGCTTTGAGAATATTCGGTCGAACCTCATTTTTGAGCCACGCACAAGCGCGGAGACCGTCAGGCCCAAGCATCGCCACCTTGGCAACTCGAAGAACATGTCGCAAGTCCTGGGTGTTCGGGGGCCACACTGGTCCCGCAGCGCCTGGGGCAGGGCGAACTTCGAGACGTACTTTTCACGCATCGCCAGCTTGTGCTGAGAAGCCAGGGGCTTCGCTGGGCAGAAAACCGAGCCCTAAAAGCACGCTGGGCCCACATTGGTCTCCTCGAGGGTTACCGTCACCTCCCCGTCTTCCTTCGCGATCCCAATGGTGTACTTGCGGGACCCGGTGGGGGCCCACAGCTTAGTTCGACGCCGATGGGCCCGCTTCTGGCCCTGAAGCCGCTTTCGCAAGTCAGCGTTGGTCTCGGTCGCCTCGGGGCGCTCAAGCGCTCGACGGCGGCGCGCGCCGGCCCACTGTTGGGCAAAGTCGAACTCCATCTGGAAGTCGGCGTGGTCGACGATGCGGACCTGACCCTCCGCAATCGAGATGAAGTCTCTCGTCCAAGGATGGTTGGCCATCAACGTGGTGGCCAGCCTGCGCCAATTGCGATTAACTGAGCGGCCCCTCTGTCGAAAGATCATCGCCAGACACTCCTGGGAGCGGCCGTGGTTGCACAAGAGAAACTTCTGAATGTCCTTCGCTGCCGTGTCCTGCAGCGGGAACGCGTTGACGTAAGCCTGCAGATATTCCTTGAACTTCGCATGCTTGCGCACCGCAGGCGCAATCAGCGCCAGGTGGCCAGCGTCCCGCGGTATCGGACGCAGGCTCGCCAGTTCAGTCATGAGCAAGCTGTGATCGCTGACTTCCTGGATGAAATTCTCCTGCGGCTCACCCAAGATGGAGGTCGACAGCCACCCCTGGCAGAGCGCCCACTTCGGCACGCTGAGGAAGAGCTTGTCGATGACCGTGGCACGCCGTGTGCCAGGGTGCCAATGGCTCGGGAGGTCAGCCGTCAGCTCCGTTGCGGACGCCACCGCGCCCGTCCACTGCTTCTCGCACGAGCGGCGCCGGAGTGCGGGGCTCTCCGCCTGGGACGCCATGAAGTCCTCGCGTTCTATGGTCTCCCCAAGGTTGAAGTCGCCAGTGATGACCACTAAGCGTTCCCGCGCGTCGGGTTTGGCCCACATGAGGTCTGCCTTGATCATCGAGGTCGTATGGCGCCTTTGCTCAGGCGTCAGCCCGTGGTTGTGGACATTCCAATGTACTAGCGTGACATGAGGAGTACTGCGAGATGTTGCAAGTTCCCGCTCGGGCGGGACGCGGTTCCACGAATTGACACCTCCCTTGGCCAGACGGGTGGCCCCGGACAATCTGTGAACATTTGCCCCCTGGGGAGCAACTTGTTCAGAAATTATCTGGGGCGTCCAGCCTGGCCGAAGGGCGGCTCTTGACGACGTAAGGCCGGCCTGATGAGGTAAACTCCCCCGGCTCCCGGTCGAAGCCAGCGGCCCTGATGATCCCACTGGCGGAGACGAGGAAGGACAGGTGCTGCGCGAAACCCTCTGGGTCGCAAAACTCGGCAGCTGGGAGGTCCCAGGGGAGTCGACTCGTGGAGACGAGGAGGAATGCCAGTCGCTGCGCGTAACCCTCTGGGTCGTAAAACTCGGCAGTTGGGAAGAAGGAGGAGGAGGAGGAGGATGAGGAGGATGAGGAGGATGAGGAGGATGAGGAGGATGAGGATGAGGATGAGGATGAGGATGAGGATGAGGATGAGGATGAGGGATGAGGAGGAGGAGGAGGAGGAGGAGGAGGAGGAGGAGGAGGAGGAGGAGGAGGTGTCGTCGCCCGTCGCCCGTCGCCGCCGCCGTCGCCGCGTGCCCCCCCTCGCTCCCTCGCCCCGCAGAAGGGGCAGGCGTTCTCAGAAGGCTCGGAAGTCACGCAGCCTTCGGAAAAGTCTCCCGAGCCCTCCCCGAAGACGCCGAAAACCTCTCAGAGGTCCCGAGGGCTTCTGAGAAGCCCCGATGCCTTCTGAGAAGGCCTTCTCCTCCTCGCTTTCCTCCCTCGCTCGCCGCCGAGACGAAGCAGGGGAGCCCGCCCGTGGTCTGGAGCTCGTGGCGCACCCAGGACGGGTCCTCGCAACGGCACTGCTCCGTGCTGCACCGGCCGGCCTCCTGGGTGCAGAAGGTGCCCTCCACCTGCACGCAGAACTCCGACGCGTTGTGACCCGTGCAGTACACCTCCAGACTCCTCTGGGGCGACAATAACTGCAGAAACACAACCTTTCTCGGAGGTCCGCGCAGATCTCCAAAAAGCTTACGTTTCCCCACGGTTCCCTTCTGAACCCGTTCGGCGTCTGAGCCCGTTCGGCCGCCGAATGGGCAACCGAACGGGCTCAATTCCGACAGTGTCGAGGGAATTGAGCCCGTTCGGCCACCGAGTGGGCGCGATCGCGAGTCCGTTCGGCGGCCGACTGGGCTCATACGCCGAACGGGCTCAGGAGGGAACCCTGGGACCCCATATGGAGGCTCCCGAGAATGCATGCGCCTAACGGGCTCAGGAGGGAACCCTGGGGCCCCATCGAGGCTCCCCGAGGCCTGAGCAGGGCCAGGCATGTCAAGACGCATAGCGTCACACGTATCCCTCCTTGATCCTCGAGGGTCGAGGCCGCAAGAAGCAGGCCGCGGGAGGAGGAGGAGGAGGAGGAGGAGGAGGAGGAGGAGGAGGAGGAGGAGGAGGAGGAGGAGGAGGAGGAGGAGGAGGAGGAGCCCTGGGCTTGTGCAACTCTCCCCTGCTCGGCTCCTGGGGCCAGCCTCGGAGAGCGGCGGCCGCTGGCCGAAGCGCATCAGGTGGTTGCTCCGGTCGCACGCGCCGAGGGCCCAGCGGGCGCCGGAGGAGCTCCAGGCGAGGCAGCTCTTGCCCCTCCGCTTCTCCACGATGCGCGCGCCGTTGTAGCGCAGCGGCAGGCACGCCGACTGGTTCCGCGTGGAGACCAGGGGGAGGCTCTCCTCGGAGGCCTCTCGAGGAGCCAGAAGCGGCAGAAGCCTGCACTCTCGGGGGCCGGCTGACTGACAGGCCGTACACCAAGCGGTGCGTGGGCATGAACGCTGGCTAACAGAAGAGCCCATGCCCAGGCTACACGCTGGGCCGCTGCACTCGGCTCCTTGTTTACAGCTATCTTCGTTATTGTAAACTTTCGAAGGCCGCGCGGATCTCATGGATCTGCGCTGGACCCCCATCCCTGGCGTGCGGAGCGCGCCAGAGGCGGTGCCGGAGGCGCCGCCAGGTGGGTCCAGCGCAGATCGAAGAAAGCCGCGCGGACCTCCGAAGGTTTCTGTTCACACTGTTTCTGTTCCCTCGGACACGTCCTCGAGCTCCTGGCCCGGCGCCAGGGCGAGGCAAGTGCCATCGCCGGAATCGCCCTGCAGGGTGAAGTCGACCGGGGGCCGGATGCACTGCGAGCAGGGCTGGCCGTCTATCATGATCTCGTGCTTGGGCCAGAAGGGGTCCTCGCACTCGCAGGCGTCCATCGTGCACTCCTCGTCGCCCTCGGCCACGGCGGGGCAAATGCCAGAGACGCACTGGAAGCACGCCTCGGTATCCTGCGTGACCAGCTCCCGCTTCCTGGTTTTTTCGATTAATTAGTTGAATAGTCAGCTTGTTTGTTTGTTTGCTTGTTTGTTTGTTTGTTCGTTTGTGTGTGTGTGTGTTTGAACTGGCTGTCCACCCTACCCATCAACTTCAGTCGCGTGCTTGGTCACAACACCAATATATTTTTCAACTTTATACCCGCGCTTCACTGCCTAACGCCGGTGTTGTGATTCAGTGGCCGCAATTTGTCGTCGGCATCCGCGCTTCGGCTAACTAAATTCAATGCGTTCCTCGTTTTCTGGTCGCTGCACGTTCGCCTGGACTTACAGTTTCTCTTCACGCCCATCGCTTGCATGCTGCGGTGTGCTGCTGCACGCCGCTCGGTTGCAATTAGCACCTCCATCTGCTGCCCGGACCTGAAGATCCCCCGTGCCCTTTCGCTTGACCCGCACTGCGCCGCGTCGCCGCGCGCGTGGCCGCGGCGCCAACAGTGTGTGTGTGTGTGTGTGTGTGTGTGTGTGTGTGTGTGTGTGTGTGTGTGTGTGTGTGTGTGTGTGTGTGTGTGTGTGTGTGTGTGTGTGTGTGTGTGTGTGTGTGTGTGCGTGCGTGCGTGCGTGCGTGCGTGCGTGCGTGCGTGTGTGTGTGTGTGTGTGCGCGTGTGTGTGTGTGTGTGTGTATTTAGCTCCCGCTTCCTGAGGTGGTCGGGGCACGTGCACGGTGCGGATGTGCACATCCCTGTGAGCGAGGTGCACTGGCCGACAAACAGCGAGGGGGCGATCCAGCTAGCCTCTGGGGACCAATCAGAACCACACAGAAACAAACTTTTGCACGCCCACGTGCGCCCGACATTTACGGCCGGAAACTTTTGCTCACCGTGTCGCGGCGGCGGCCCTGGTGACGCGCTGCCTTGCAAGCGGATGGCATGTCGCGGGAGGCTGGGAAGAGCTCTGGGCCGTTGACGCTTCGGGGCTGGGACGTGGTCAGCGTGTCGCGGCGAAGCGCGGCGGGCCAGAACCGGCGGAGCGACACGCTAAGCAAACGTTCCTGACCGTACGTCTTTGTCCTCCAGGGCCAGGTGAGAGGCACCCTGGAGGCCGACAAGGGGCAAAAGCCCCTCGCCGTGTTTTATAATCACAGGCGAGAAGAGGTCCAGCTTTCGGATCCCAACTCGGCCTCCCTCGGCCGCACTGGACGATTCGGGCACCCCTGGGACCCCTCGGCGCCGCCGCTCGACAGCACGGGGCCCTGAAGACCCCCAAGAGCTAATATGAGCATCGGAGAACAAACTTTCGCACGACAGCGAGCCCGAACGACGATCGACGAGTTCACAGCGAGAGGAGGTCTGCGCTCTGCTCCGCTTGCACGCAGGAGTGGCCCTGGGCAGGAATGACCCCTGGTGTGGGGTGTTCGGGGGCCACGGGGTTCTAGATGCGAGCGTGCAGGCCAATGCTGCGGGGACTCCTGTGGAGGGTTTCTCCGAAGGGCTTAGGCGACCCGTCCTCCTCCTCTCCCTTCCTCTCCTCCTATTCCTCCTCCTCCTTCTCCTCCTCCTCCTCCTCCTCTCCCTCCTCCTCCTCCTCCACCTCCTCCTCCTCCTCCTCCTCCTCCTCCTCATCCTTCTCCTCCTCTTCCTCCTCGGGTCGCCGACGGCCCCGGGGGAAACCGTGCAAGCCCGCACCAAAAAACACTCTCGCAAAGTGTGACTCGGTTTTCGTTCGGGTCAGAAACTCGGCCTTCCAGCGGCCGTTCGGGACGATTCGGGCATCCCCAAAACGCTCTCGGCGAATCGTAGATGCTGGAACGCAGCCCGAGGCAAGAAACCTCCTGAGACCGAGGAAACCTCTAGGAACCTCCATGTCACTTCGGCGAAGGGTCACTCATAAACACGCGCCGCCGATTGCTTCATTTGCCGTGAGTTTTCAATACGGGGTCCCCAGAAATTCCGAATCTTTCCCCAAGGCGAGAGAAAACCTAATCCGAGTCGGTTTTTAATGGTGCTGGGGCCCGTCGAGGGCCCATGGAAGCCGAACATGTCAAAACATACGTGGTGTTTTTTTCTCTCGCGGCAAGAGCATGTGTGGGATTGCTTGCCGTGCAGGCCTGGGACATCAGCAGACACGCGAAAGCGGCCACCCCCGCGCACGTCCACTCCACCGGCCAACCCTCCGGGGCCCGGGCGTGGCCGCCGCCGGCGGCCCTCCGCGACATGAGGGCCGTCCCGGGAGCCGCTGCCGCAGCGCGGTTCGGCACAGGACCGCTTCGCCAGAGTGGCCCTCCATCGCCGCCGCCGTTTTTGCCGCCGCCGCCGCAGCCGCCGCCGCCACCGCCGCCACCGCCGCCGCCGTCGCCGCCGCCGCCGCCGCCGTCGTCGTCGTCGTCGTCGTCGTCGTCGTCGTCGTCGTCGTCGTCGTCGTCGTCGTCGTCGTCGTCGCCGTCGTCGTCGTCGTCACCGTCGCGACGGAAGGTTTTTGGCAATTTTCGGACTCTGGGGGCCCTCGCCAAGCCCTGAGGCCGTCAACATATTATTTGGGATGAGAAGGCGGCCCCGGCGAAGTGCTCGAGATCTCTGTGGGTAGACGTTTCGAGCAAATCAGGACATCGGGGATCTGGGGTTGTCGTCGTCGTCGTTGTCGTCGTCGTGATCGTCGTTGTCGTCGTGGTCGAAGTCGTGGTCGTAGTTGTTGTGGTTGTCGTAGTCGTAGTCGTCGTCGTCGTCGTCGTCGTCGTCGTCGTCGTCGTCGTCGTCGTCGTCGTCGTCGTCGTGGTCGTCGTCGTCGTAGTCGTGGTCGTCGTCGTCGTCGTTGTCGTCGTCGTTGGTCGTGGTGGTGGTGGCCGTCGTCATGATCGTTGTCGTCGTCGTGGTGGTCGTGGTAGTCGTGGTTGCCGTCGTCGTGGTCGTCGTGTTCGCGGTTGTCGCTGTCGTGGTCGTGGTTGTGGTTGTCGTCGTCGTCGTCGTCGCCGTCACCATCACCGTCGCCCTCACCGTCGCCGTCGCCGCGCTTCCGCCGCCTCCGCCGCCACCGCCGCCGCCGTCGCCGCCGCCGCCGCCATCGTCGTCGTCGTCGTCGTCGTCGTCGTCGTCGTCGTCGTCGTCGTCGTCGTCCTCGTCGTCGTCATTGTCGTCGTTGTCGTCGTTGTCGTCGTCGCCGTCCCAGATCTCCGACGATACGATTTTTTTTGCCCGCGATTGTTGCGTCGATTTCGGCATCTGGCGCCCGTTGTTGGGCTCCAGGGCCACAACAACCCTTGGGAAGCGGTCTGGACTCCTTGGGCCGCGGATTGAAAAATCATATAGGCGGATGTCAGGGTCATCGTCGTCGTCGCCGTCGTCCGGGAAATTTCCGAAGCTCGTGTTGGTTCCGGGGAGTCCTCGGTCCTCAAGGCGGGAGGTCCCCGCGTGCGCGCCGCCGAACTCACAACGCGGAAGGTCTACAGTGGGGACCCATGCCAAGAAACACCCTGCTTGCCTCCAGGGTGCCCTGGGTTTCTTGTGGAAGGGTTCTTGTGGTCGAGCCTCTACTGTAGATCTTGCCCTTGGAGCACATTCATGGCACTGCCAGGAGGGAAGCTGTATAAGGAACGGGGGGGCTCTCCTGACCACAGCGGGCCTCGTCCACGAATAGGTTCCCCGACCTAGACCTGAGGAACGGCCCAGAAACGCCTTCCTAACATTTGTAAGAGGCTTGCTTACCAATGTACCTGGATCAGCATGTTAATTGGTACTTCTAACGAACAGAACACATGGTCGCGAGCCCCTCCTGAGCTCAAAACGGTCCTTCAGTCAGCGCCTCGACTGTAAATTTTCGTCGGGCTCGATTCTGATGGTCCCAGAATCCAAAAGGGCCCCTGAAGGCCAAAGGGAAGGAAAAGCGCCGGGAATGGAAACATTTAATCCGCCAGAGGTCTGATTTGTGAATGCCGCAAGGTATCAGAACGTCAGCGATCTCGATACCTTCCCTGGGCCAGCTTTTCATCCTTAACATTCTTCCATCGCAGGAAAGGGACCGTCTTCCAGAAGCAGAAACGCTGAACAACCAGCTGTCGCGACTTTTTTGCGACGCCCAGATCTGCGGGATATCAATATAAAGGAGGTCTGTTGATGCTGGCTACACACCGGGGTAAGCCCGTGCAAGAGCGGTGGTGGTGCGCGGCTTAGCGCGCACGCTGGCATCAAGGGAGACTCCTGTGGCCCGCACAAAACCAATACCTCCGACGTCACGCTTTTTTCACAACGTGGGCCCCCAGAAGCCTCCACCCCTTCCAGGGGACCGGTTTTGCCTCCCGAATGCAGATTTTGACGGTCCTGGGGCCCAAACGATGAATAACCAGCTGTCGCGACTTTTTTGCGATGCCCAGATCTGCGGGAGATCATAACAATGGAGGTCTGGGGTTGCTGGCTACACACCGGAATAACCCCGTGCAAGAGCGGTGTTGGTGCGCAGTTTAGGGCGCACGCCGGCATTAGGGGAGACTCTTGTGGGCCCGCACCAAACCAATACCTCCGACGTCACGCTTTTTTCACAACGTGGGCCCCCAGAAGCCTCCACCCCTTCCAGGGGACAAGTTTTGCCTCCCGAATGCAGATTTTGACGGTCCTGGGGCCCAAAAAACCTCCCGTCGTGGTCTTTCCTAGGTGGCGACATCCGAACCCTACACCCACCAACCGTCGACTCTCCTTAACCGATGGGAGGCGGGGGTTGGGTTCGGATCTCGCCACGTGTTCAACGAACTCCGAACCCTATCCCCGCCGCCCATTGAGTTGCCCGAATCGTGGATCGGCGAGGGCACGGTTCGGATTTCGCCGCCGATTTCCTCAACGCGATAAGGCCGCTCTGGCGAAGGGTCCCTCTCTGGCGGCGCGCACCAGGGGATAGGGAGAAGGGGGGAAGGCTTCTCGGAAGGAGGCTGTTTCTCAGAAGGCGCCGGCCATGCATCTATAGACAAGGCCCGCGCCTTCCACGAAGCAGCGTGCTTCTAAGAAGCCTCCCCCCCCTCCCCCGTACCACCCTCTGCGCGTGGCTGGTCT